CGCGCGGCGTGGGCGCGGGGCCGGGCGCGCCGGCCGAGCTGCGGGTCCGCGTGCGGCTGCCCGACGGCCAGGTCACCGAGGAGAGCCTGCAGGCGGACAGCGACGCGGACAGCATCAGCCTCGAGCTGCGCAAGCCCGACGGCACCCTCGTCTCCTTCACCGCCGACTTCAAGAAGGTGAGGCACCGTCGCTCGCCTGGAGGGACGTGGGAGCCCGGGCGCCCCGGGGTCCCCGGTCGCACTGAGGCCTGCAGGTGGAAGGCGGGCCAGGAGAGGGAGAGACTGAGCCGGGGTCGTCGGGGTCCCCGGCGCCCAGATCCGGCCCCTTCATTCTGCTGGAGGAAGTCCTCCGCCGGCCCTCCAGCCCTTCACCCCCTTGCTCTGGGTGCCCAGGCCCCTTCTCTTTCCCTGACTCCCAGCCTTCTGCCCACTTCTCTTCCAGCTCTCCCAGAGCCCTCCAGGTGCGGACTCTCCTTCAAAAGAGTTGACTCCCTTCTTGGAGTCATTTCCCTGTGCTCTAGAGGAGAAAGTCCTGGGCTGGCAATCAGAGGTCCTGGGTTCTTGCTGTGTGATGTTGGGCAAGTCCCTTTCCTTCTCTGGGCCTCGTTTTTCACCTCTGCACAGGTCGGTGAGGTGGCTCCAGGCCCCTCAGCTCTGACATCTTGGAGTCTATGAACCAACTCTCGTGTTGCACCGTTCTAGGCCGGAGGCATGGCGGGAGGGAGGCTGGGAGGTAAGAGCTGATTGTCCCTTGTCCCTCCGGGACCGAGGAGAAGCTACCTCTGCTCCTGGGTCTGGAAGGCTGGGAAGCTTGAAGAAGGAGAACCTGGGGAGAGGCCCTACGTGAGGTCCCCGCACTCTGGGAGAGTTGCCACCCCTTACCGCGCCTGGCAGGATGGCTGGCCAACCTCCATGTTTTGACCCAGATTGCAGGAAGGGGGCAGAAACCAGCCCCTATTCAGTATGTGTAAGGAACCAGAAGGTGGACGTGGCCCCCAAGGTTGTTGGGGTTGGGGGGAGACTGGAGGAACTGGGGGGTTATCAGTAAATGGGCCCGGAAGGACAGTGAGTGACTAACGGTGACCCAGCAGCAGGAATTCTGGAAGGAAAGAGGGTGGGTGAGGAGTAGGTACTTGAAAGGAGTCTCCTGATACACACACACACACACACACACACACACACACACGCACGAACATGCACACACCAGCCCCTCTTCTGATAAAAGGAGGCCCCGTCTCTGGGGAAGTGGAGAGGTGAGGCCAGTTAGATAGCTGGGCAGCTGGAGAAGTTCAGGGCTATAGAGCCTCGCCCAAGCCATCTCTCTCTCCTCCCTCTTAGCGAGTGGGAGCTTGAGAGGAAAGGGGCAGAACTTGGGGAGGCAGCTAGGGACCCAGCAAAACTGCCATAGATAAGCATGGTGAGGGGATCCAGTGGACAGCGGAGATAGGGCTTGACTGCCTACCTGTCCCAAAACTACTGAGTTGTCACTGACATGGGACGTAGGTGGACCGTGGGGTGTGGGCAGTCATCCCAGCTGGGAAGACTTTGTGGCCCTTCCATACTCAGTAGGCCCAAGCTAGGTTCTCACATTCAGGTAGAGGCAGGTGGGTTTGTGTGTGGGGAGAAGGAAGCTGGCGGGGCCAGAATACCTCCTGCCTCCCCACACCTAAACTCCAGGGGAAATTTTGTCAAATGCTTTCTTTTCCTGGGAAATCCCAGAGTAGCCAGACCCCTCAGGGGGCGGTGGTCTCATCTTCCCCTCTAACCTTCCACTGAAGCCCTTTGTACTTGAGAGTGCCCCTCCGGCCAGGACAAGAGTCTCCTAACCTTCCTGCCCAATGCCGACTGTTTTATGGTAGCTGGAACCCTGGGGAGAGGCTTCCCTATTCCTGGGACCTCTCCAGCGGCTGAGGCTGTGGCTAGGACATCAGTGAGAGACACAACGGGTAGGGCTGAGCTTTTATAGCCTCTGGCTGCAGCATAAACTCTTTTATTACTCTACCCTGTGGGCCAGGAGAGGGGAGTGCCCCAGTGGCAGTGGGGTGCGGAACTGGGGTCTGGAGCTGAGAGTTTAGTAGGGGGCTGACTGCCCAGTTGAAGAAGCCACTTGGAGCTGATGGCAAGGGCCCCATTTTGATCCCCGCAGTGGTTCAAACCTCCACCCAGGTTTGACTCTAGTCCAGAGTCTGCTTTTCAGGTTAGCTTCTGACCCAGAACCCGGCATTTCACACCCGCCCTGGCATCTCCTAATTCACCAGCAAGGACTGGAATTGGGGGCGGAAGGCGCAGAAAGGGAACCCGCTCTCTAAGGGCTCTCCAGCTCCGGGTTTCTCATTTAGCCCGGGGCGGGGCATCATAGCCTTTCCCCCACCCAAGTTGCTGTCTACATTGGCCAGAGCAGCTTTTCTATGCGGATCCTTCTGTGGCCCTCTCAGTCCTCAAGGCCTTGTGCCCCATAGCCTTTGGCAGATTTACACAAGGTTCTATGTAGACATAACAATTTTTCCCGTGGGAAGAAGTCTTGAACGTTGTGTTTCCTTTGTTTTGTGTACCAAACACCCCAGTCCACTTAGGAATGGCAATGTTTGCCATTTTCTCACCTTTAGGAGACAGTCCAGACTGAAATGAGATCGATACGGTTTAACCCTGGGCAGGGGACTTGATCTCTGCAGGCCTTCGTTTCTTCATCTGTAAAATGGGGGTGATAACGGCACCAATCCCGTGGCTATCATGGGAAGTAAACAGGTAATCCACGTGAAGTGCCCACTATGCGTCGGCTCCCGTGCTAAGCGCTCAAGAAATGGAAGCCGCTAGCTTTCGTGATCGTTGCCCACATCACAGTGCAGCATGGGCCCTCCGTGCTGAGCCTGGACCCAGAGAGGTTGAATGACAGACCCAGAGTCAG